CAACCTTCAACAAATTTTTCTTCTTTTTTCCGTAGCCCATCCCATTCCCTCCCAATGTCCCAAACACCCGCAACCCTTCACAGAAAATCCCATACCTCGCCCTAATGTGTGTGCCATCCCAGACAGTTTCTTTGTTTCTTTCCCTGTACACGTCAGGGGTTCCCACTTGGCAGAGAAGCAAATGACCAGTGCTTCGTGAAGACAGAAGGTGTTATGAGATCTGTTTGCCTACTTTCGTGCGTATATCGGTCGAATGAGCACTGCCTATATCTGACAACCTCGCCACTCACCCAACTAATCTGGCGCGTCTATCATCTTCGGGGTGGCCCGTCAAGAAAAAAAAATCTTATTTTTTCTGCCCTGATGATGTTTTAGTTGCATTTTTACGACGACTGAGCACGACGATGACCATAAGTTCACCAGGACCTTGATATTCGGATGATGATTAGAGTGAAATGAAACAGAAATAGCTGACCACACAGAATTGCTCACTGACCTTGAACTAACAGTTACTTAAGAGCGGGCATGACTTACAAGAGGCATTGTCAAACGTGGTACTGGACTTTCTAAAAATGCGCTTTCCTTTCCCAGAAATTTGAGTGTCTTCACATCCCGCGGATTCGAACATTAACCCAACCCGTACGTAGCGTTTTACTATCGTATCCAAACGACGTGGGGAACTCTGTGCCACCACTTTCCAAAGAGGAAATTTACTCCGTCAATCCGATCCGATCTTTGCATAGTAGTCTGTCAAAATGATTTTTTTGAGAAATACTGAAAGTTTCAAAGAGATCTTCGTTTTAGAAATATTCTAAAATGTGAAGAATACAACCCGGGGGTGCAAGATGACCCTAGGGCGTACGGATAGGGACAAACCCTCACGACGTTGATCGAGTCCGCATCCTATGACGTCAAAGCGATCCGACTTTCTTGAGAAGACAAGCTAAAACAGCACCTAGACATGGATGACTGGTGCCTCTGTGAATATATCATTGATGGTTAGGTCGAGAAGACGTCTATAAGTTAAAAGTTGAATTAACTGTAAACACGTTTCAATCCCCCTGGCATAATTAAGACGTTTAGGGCTGTTTATTTAGAGCTTCAATCCTTACTGCCATGGGCCAACCCGGGCTCTTTGAGATATAGCATCCCGAAAGAAAGACCAAGATACTCGATAAAATAGACGTCCAATAAGGGAAATGAACTGATGTCGTTTTCATGCAAAGACGAAGAGCCTGATCATTATACAATTGATGCTTTTTAGCAAAGTTTCATTTTGAACCCTTTTTCTTTGTAATCATGATCACACCTCAGAAAAAGTACCATACGGTCCTGCATACTCGGTGTAGACAATATGAAGATGAAATTGAATTCTAATTAATTCAAGGCTCAATAAAAGAAAGAGGGTGACCGGATGAGAGGGTTAGCGCTGTCAAATAAATTTAAAAAGAAAGAATGAAGGAAAGAAAAAGAGAGAGAGGGGGGGGCAGAGAGGCAGAGAGAGAGAGAGAGAGAGAAGGAGAGAAAATGAGAGATAGACAGAGAGAGAAGGGGAGAGAGAAAGAGAGACACACATACTGAAAGAGAAGGAAAGAAGAATAGACAGCTTGGATAGTATTATCACAAAAGTATCTATTCATAAGAGCTAAGAAAAGTGAGACCAGAAACGCAAGGTGAAAAGTGCAAGCACCATGGTATCAAAGGATCGACAAAACACCCGATTCAGTTTATGGTGTCATAACAGTTGCATAATATTCGCTTTCAAGTAAATATCCCCTAAACCATAACACCTTCTGAGACTCAGTACTTATAAAGAACTTTGAATGTGTTTTTTTCACAGACACAAAAAGTCAAACATTAGGAAGCTAAGCGTGAAGGCAACACCTTAACAATTCCAGATAGATTTAGTTATGTTAGCTGAATCGTTACTTCAGTTGGAGGCGTGGCGTTTGAATAGAACTGGGAAGTCAGGCGTACTACAACAAGGCCATTATTCTCAGAGAGAGAGGGAGGGAGAGAGAGGGAGAGAGAGGGAGACAGAGAGAGAAGGAGGAAGAGAGAGAGAAAGAGGGGGGAGAGAGGGGGAGA